AAAAAAAAAAAAAAAAAAAAAAAAAAAAAAAAAAAACTGCCTGACTCTGTGCATGTGAAAATGTGACCTATATACATCCTCTGCGTGAAACACTCTCCCCTTGATCTGTGCACCTACGCATGCGTTGTAGTTTTCAAATGAGGGGCTACACCTTCCTCCCTCTGTGTGCTTACGAGTAGACACGCTTGGGGGTGCGAATGTCATGTGGATGGTCTCCCCATTTGGGGGGAAACCTCTTCTTCATTTTTTTTTTTTTTTTTGCAGTAGCTGTGCAGTGTGTGCACGCTGCAGGGAAGGAAATAAAAAAAAAAAAAAAAAAAAAAAAAGCGCAGGAGAAGAAGATCCGTCGAAAAGTTACAAAACGCGCCACAACGTAATGCACGCGCAGGGCGATACAACGAACATAAAGTTGTTTTAACTTAGCAGTGAGACTGCCTTTTTTTTTTTTCTTTTTTTTTTTTTTACACCCTCTTCGAGCTCATGTTAACAGTACACTCTGGGGCATACACTACAAGCCTGTATTCCCCCGCGTGCAATGTGCCATTTTTTTTTTTTTTTTTCCCTTTTTGTCCTATTTGTTTAGCTGTTCATATGTTTAATCGATCTTGTGCATACGTTTCCGTTTATCCTACCTTGCCCAGACGGCCATCACACGCTGGTGAAATTAACCCTGTCTCTGAGAAGCGTCTTCCGATTTCCGTCCGCCCCTCTCCCTCCCCCTGTGCACTCTACGTGTTTTTCCTACCAACTTAGTCGCATAAGATGAGCGCGTCAAGTGACCAAGTCGCCCAAAGGGATGGCCGCACCAGACTGAAACGGTACAATTGGCACATGGCAAATGGTGATTGGCAACCGCTTGGGAAATTACCCCATGGGGAGTTAGCCCTCCCCCCTCGTAACGTGGCAGAGTGCCACCCATTTGGTGAGTCCTTCCCTCGCCCCTTCTCTGCAGCGCCCCGGCCGGAAAGCCCACTCACCCGAACGACCCCATGCACTGTCCAGTATGAAAACGCCTACGGATGAGAGCCCACCCAGTCGTCACACCCTGCGTGTGTGCAAGTGTGTCGGAAGCTCACCCACAACCACTGTTCCTTTCTGCTCTTTCCCTCCCTCGGCAGCTCTACCATGAGACAACCGAAAGGTTATTCAAAAGCAGCGTTAGAAATTTGAACCATCGTAATAAAAGGTCCATGTTTGATGCGGTTAGGGATGAAAGCAAAGGTACTCAATGATTTACCATTTTGGAGTTAGCATGTCCGCTGAGCAGACTCACGTGGTTGCGATGATAAGGGAGTTGCACCGAGGGGCTTCCCCATTTGAGTCAAGCGTGTATCCCACCACACATATTCAGTTGCATCTTAAGATACTTTCCCCCCGCTTCTTCTTTTTTTTTTTTTTTTTTTTTTTTTTTGTGACCCGCCCTATCCTCAACGGTAGACTTGAACAGAAACGGCTCGACGGACAAGTGGGAAAATAAAAAAATAATTGCACCCCCCCCTGGAGAGATCAAGCAGATTCTGCAGCAGGAGCCATTTCATATGAGTAGCAAAAGGAGTGGACGGAGGATTCACCCCGAGGTTGCAAGTGGAAATATCTTCTACAACGAGAGGTGGGTACATGCACACAGGAGGGGATTCACCTTGTTATCATTCCCCGTCTAAGCAGCTTCAAAAGTAATGTACTTATTCGAATGGGACAATTTTTTTTTTTTTTTCCCCCCCCCACACAGTAGTAACGTGGACCAAAAAAAGAGGTCTCCAGGGAAAATGCAGTCGATACGTTAAGGAGTGAATACCACTGCGCTTCTTCTTTTTTTTTTTTTTTTTTTTTTTCCCTTATTGGGGTGTCCAAGAGGGACTACCCTTTTGTGTAATTCTCACTAACCCTCCTTTGCCCCCGTCCATGTCGCACCAACTATGGAAATCGCAGCTCGAAGAAGACGAGCAGCTACAGCCTGCATAACAACCCCTGCAGGTGGGGAGTCGACGTCCTTAGGTATCCTTTACCCACACCCAAGAGGAATGTCAGGCACGTGGGTAATTTATCGGTACGCAGAGGTAGAGACCACGTCTCGAGTGGCACTTTTAATGAAGCAGCATTACCTCTTACGTTACTCTCGCTGGTCCTCCCGCTTTGTCTCCCCTGCAGACCTGCCTTGTGCCGAACAAAAGCTCCGACGCGTTCGTCCGTAAGAAGAGCCCGAGCCATTACGTCACCCAATTGGAGGTGAGCCAAAATTTCACCACCGGGAAAAAAGGGACCCCCACGACAACATTACTGTCGCCCCCCCTTAACACAGACCCTTTACATCAAAACCCAACGCCGCTTTTTTAACAGAAATCGCTCTGCCCAAAGGAAAGCGCCTCCATCCAGGGTTCCAGCCGAAAGATCATTCATTCTCATGAGTCTAAGTTAGAGGTGGGTTCACGTCTTTTCCCCCCTCGACTTTCTTTAACTGGTTGTAACTTGTTGTAACTTGTTGTAACTTTTTTCACTTTCTTTGCGCCATTCCCACCTTCCTCGTGACTTTCCAGATAAACTGCATACCAAAGGACTTCGAACGGAGGGAGACAAAACAGACTTTCACCTCTCGCCAGGACAACTTAAACGTTAAAATGGAAACAGTTGTGCACCTATCTTATTACCACTGAGCCAGCCCAAGGTGTGCACACGTCCGGCACTCCCCCACCCCACCCCTGTAGGCTGACCTCACCCCCATGGAGCACGTCGGAAGGAGGCCCTTCCACATAAACACCACCTGCAGGAATAAGCAATCCTCCGTTGCCTTCAACAGTATAAAATGAATTAGCGGCGGACACACCTGACAGGAGACCTCTGAACCGTGTACACCTCCACACGCATCACGCGCACGCACACGAATCACATACGCACAGTTGAACCTCCAACGTGGACCCCCTTTTTTGCAGGCGCCAGAGAACCGTCTCCGTTTAGGCCAGGAAAACGAATCGGGTACATCTCCGCCAAGAGGGAGCATTCAGTTTTCTTGTGTTGACTTGCGCGTTCCCCGGGGGGAGAAGCGGTGGGCAAGAAGCGGCGGAGGATACTACCAATCACTGTGACATGCCAACCGCTTCTTCTCCCTGGGATGTCTTTCGTAGTCCTGCCTTCCCCTCCAGACGCGAATAGAAGTGGTCAGCCATTCACCCATTCCTTTTACTTCTTTAATTTGCCATTTCAATTGTAAAAAAAAAAAAAAAAAAAAAAAAAAAAATCTGCACTTTTTGGCCAATTTTTTTTTTTCTTTTACTTATTGTGCACGTCTCTCTTGGAGGAACTGACACCCGTGGCAACGTCCCTGCCGTTGCTTCGTTTTGTGCCATTCTTCACAACGCACGCGAGCAGTTTTTACTCTAACCAGAAACTTTCACTTGTGACTTTGCCCTTGTGGGCGTCATTTTTTTTTTTTTTAAAAAATATCGTGCGAGACGGGGAGAGTTGCTCGAAGTTGCTTTGACTTCGAATCAAAGTGGTTCCCTCAGATGGGGGAACGGGTAGACAGGCTCTGCACTTCGTGCCGCGCCGCATCGCCACTTCGTGCTGCGCCGCCTCTCCACTTAGCGGCGTGGAAAGAGGACCCGCCAAATGGGCTTGCACACCCTGCAGCACCTACTTTGGCGTGGAGACAATTTCACCGGTTCCTCATGTGAGGGGTGAAAAACAGAGTGGCGCTTGCCAAATACAGGAATGGCAAAGTGCCTCCTACATAGAAGACTCATCTCAACACATTTACATGAATCAAATTCTTCTCGAGTGGGTTCATCAGGATAAAGCTTAGTAACCAAGTCTGGGTAGGTTGGAAGAGTTGAATTCGAGTAAGAATTTCTTTTCTTCGTGTAAACACTGTCCATTGCCACCTGTTCATGTTGATACAATTCTTCCGTCGAGTCATATTCATAGTCTTGTGTGGGACAAGTGGCTGGGTAAGCATGTGAATCATCATATGAGGTTAACTGTGGAGGAACAATCTTGTGATTAATGAAAGCAGAGAATGAACAGAAGGGAGGTACGGAGGCATTACTACAAGGTCCTTCAATATCATCGACCCAAAAGCCAGGACAAGCGATAAGAGTAGCCAAGCACTGAGGAAAACAAACAGACATGGTCTCTGCTACCTTCAACCCAAGGGGCATCCAGCAGATAGGAAAAATGGAGGCACAGTACATCCCTAGGTAAGCCATGGCACATAACCTATATTGTGCATCTGAAGTTTTCCCGACCTTTGAAGCATACTTAGCAGGAAAGCTCGAAATGATTCCATTCATAGTAGAATCTGTAATATCAGCTGTTACAAACTCGGCAGCTGTTATTGGGTAGAGGATGGAACCGAGACAATTTTTTCCTGTTACCATGGGGAGACAAGGAAGAGGTCTGTTGATCCATACAGGTGGAGGTATTAAAGGAGGTACAATGTCAACTACTGAGCTAGCTACTGATTGAATGAGTCCTTTCACCATTGTTAGACTTTGTATTAACATGTTAGCTAACCCGGGTTCTTTAATAGATGCAGGAGATTCTATATCTTCCAGCGAGTCCTTCATCCACTTGCTCAAATTGCTTCCATAAGCCGATCGAATCGCTCCTCCAGGGTATTCAATATTGTTGGTGGTCCATCCACTTCCCTTCATCACACCGTCACGTGCTACACCGTCACGTCCTGCACCGTCACGTCCTGCACCGCTTCTCCCCCCGCGATCACAATGTGGGTGAGACTTCCTACTGTTCTTTCTCCCCCGCTTCCCTTCCCCTGCTTTCTCGTTACTCCTCCTCTGAGCAAGTACCTCCTGCATGAAGACGCTGTACCCATCCACGTCAAAGTGGCTCAGTGCAGACTCGTATAAAGTTAGGAAGGTGTCTCTGTTCACGCGGGCCAGTTTACGCAACCCCTGTGGAGTCTGTCCCCACCTTCGCTTCAACTTTGGCGTCCCCTCCAGGCGACCTCCATCTTGAGCAGCCTTCTCGACTTCCTCTTCCTCCTTTGCTAAAAGGTCGTACAGCTCGTTGGGGTTCGCGAAATTTGTGAGGACCTCCGAGTCGACGCCCGGGAGGACCTCCCCCTGTTCAGCCTCATCCGTAGCGGCGTGGTTAGCCTCATCCTTAGCGGCGTCCCTAGCGACATCACCAATCGCGTCGTTAGAAGCTCCTGCCCACCCCACCAGGCACAGAAGGGCCGCAAACCAAATGGCGCACTTCATAGGGAGGAAACGGAAGGGCTGTAACGATGGCGATGCTGATCAAAGGAGGACAAGACGCAATTACACCTCTTTGGTCAATTGCACTTTGCCCTGAGGAGATTAGCCACTTGAGAGATCAAGACAAACACATTGTGTACTGTTTGTAATTGATTACTGTTCCAACGTTACAACGTTACAATGTTACAATGTTGCATTTTTTTTTTTTTTTTTTTTTTTCAATTGCAGCAGCTAGTCGTTGCACAACGCGGTCAGCTAGCTAATCTACACCGCGTGATTTTTGGCTGTCCATTTTTTTTTTTTTTTTTTTTTTTAAAGAGTCCACTGCGTATTGCTCGTTACACATTCCACAGTTGTTCCCCCTCGGTCTTGTTCGGCCATTTCGAACGTAACGACTGTGTGGACGACACAACACTTTGAGGAGGGACTCTGCCTACAGACTGTGTCACACAACGCAATTAACACTTACACACACACAAAAAAAAAAAAAAAAAAAGGGAAAGGCAACGCAAGGCAAGGAAATGCATTGCACTGGGATGAATGATATGTGTTAATATAAAGCAGGTGTCGCGGGTGTGAGTCGTGTAGGTGCACACACATGTGCAGGACTAGACCCCTCTTTTGCTCGCCACAAAATGGAAGCCTTATTTAAGCACCCCATTGATGGGCGGCAAAAGGGACGGCATTTCCCCCATTGGGTAAGAATAAACAATATATATATATATAACGGTCCTTTGGTCGCTCCGCTTAAAATGAGCAGGAGGGTACTCTTCCCTCTGTCTGCTTCGTTTCTGCCTCGTTTCTGCTTCGCTGCTCCGCTGCTCCGCCGTTTGTCCTTTTTTTTTTTTCTCCCCACCCTCAATCGTACGGTTGGGGGGCGCACTTATTATAGCCAACGTCATTTTCCTTCCAAATTCCGAAGGTCAGCAACTTTTTGTTTTCGTTGCTGAGGGCTGGGAAGACAAGCGACACGCAGTAGAAGGACCAGACACACAACCAGGGGCTCAGGCGTCCGCTGCGGGGGAAACAACACATGGAACGGGCGCCATGTATCGCGTACACGGTGGTGCAGTGCGCATATCGTGGTGTACCACGCACAACGTGGTGCAGATCACACAACGTGGTGGTGGTGGTGTGGTGGGGGGGGCTCGCCTTACCAAACTTGAATGCACCCGTATCTCCTTCTGAGGTTGAAGAACCTCGTGCTCATCCATATCTTCGCATACACGGCCTTAGACATGGTGCCTTCGGTTCTTCTTTTGAGGGTCCTTGTGGAGGCGGTACAAAGTTGGAGGTTACTTCCTTCCTCTAACGATGATGATGGTGCAGGGTGAGTGTAAAAATGGGGGGAGGGGCCTGGGGCTGACTGGGCAATGCGCCCACGGGGGTGTGCTCACTCGTGCGCCTCTCTTCACGCGAGAGCAGTGCTTCTCCCCCCTCTGGTGTATCTCTTTGAAGGCTCGCTAATGAGGGCGACCCTTCTTTCCCCTTTTTCACCTCCGTCACACTGTTGCACAATCGTGTTGCCGCTACAAGTCGAGCCTCTCTCTCACCTGGTGAAGTTAAACGGACTTGGTAAATATATATATATATATATATACTCCTTTTATGCAGGTGACACTCTGGGCCTCTTCCGCAGAATAATTTACACTCATAAAAAAAAAAAAAAATGTTTCAGTTTTTCTTCTTTCACCTTTTCATTTCATCCATTGTATCCATTTTTTTTTTTCCTTTTTTTTTTTTTTTTTTTTTTTTTGCGGCGCTCAGTGGCGGGCCGGCCATTTTATTATGTGGTATGCAAAGCACTCGGCGGTGGCGCCACGGAAATGGGAAAAAAAAAAAAAGAGAGAATAAAGAAAAACGCATAAAAAAATATAGAGGCTAAAATAAAGAGGAAAAAAATAAAGTGAAAGACCACCAACAGAGAATCACCAACAGAACAAGCAAAATGAAGAATAACATGAGCAAGTTACGGGTGACTCCACAAAGATAATAATTATGGGACCACGCGACCAAGTTTACCGCATACATATATAGCGCGTTCAACTGAGCCCACGTCCCCAAAAAGCAACACGCGAAATCTCTTAACGCGTATAGGAGTGTCACATGTGACCAACTTTCATTACCGCGTGGGGGTAGAAATATCATTTGTGAGTTCTCCTCCCAGGGGATTGTAAACCCCCGTTCGCTTTTCCTTAGCGTCGCGTCATCCCCCCAACTACTCTGTGCTGTTCAGCGGCAGGGGGGAGATACGCACGCCAATACTGCTTTCCTCCTACCTGCTTCTACCCGCTTCTCCTCCCCTGTGAAAACATGGCTGGTGGTGGGTCCGCGGGCGCCGCTCATCCCGTGGAGGGGGAACAACGTGGGGGGGACGACGGGCTTCTTGTCCTGCAGGAGGTGACTCCCCAGGCGGTAGGAGAGCAACGCATAAATGTGGACCTGAAGGAAAGGGACAGACGCAAAAGGGCAAACAATAAAATATTGAAAAGATTAAAAAAAAACATTCGAGAGAAAAAAGAACTCGAGAAAAACAGAATCAACTACCTACCAGTGGATCCAAAAGAGCTTCCGCAAAATTTACCAAATACAAAAAAAATAAAAAATAAAAAAATGAAATTAAAATTAAGCAGGGATGTTCGACTAGCCATCCTGTCGTCTAAAAAGTTGCTCGCGAATAAAAAGTTCAAGCGGGTCGAGGAGGGATTCATTCGGGTGGTGCCAGCACAGGATGATTTGAGAAGAGGGGGGGACCCGACCAACGAAGAGGACAAATCTGTTACCCTCAAAAAGGGAAAAGAGGTCCAGCCCTCTACTGACGATTTAGCAGGAGCACGCTCCTTACTAACGCAAAAAGAACTGTACGCCCGAGCGGACGTAGGAACTAAGAAGAAAGTGATGGACTTAAGACTAAACTTGGGGCCCTACCAATGCAGGTACTCACGAAATGGAAAGTACCTCTTGTCGACAGGAGAAAAGGGACACATCACCCTCATGGATACACACAATTTAGAACCCATGTGCGAATTTCAAGTGGATGAGTCTATCAGATGCAGCACCATCCTGCACAACCACAAACTTTTTGCAGTGGCACAAAAGAAATATATATACCTGTACGACAACACAGGGATTGAGATTAACTGCATTAAAGACATTCTTTACTCCTACCAAATGGAATTCCTTCCGTTTCATTTTTTATTAACATCCATTGGTGAGTTTGGTGAGTTGGTATATCAGGACATATCAGTAGGCAGCATCATTACCAGGAAGAAAACGAAAAGAGGTCCATGTAAAATAATGAAACAAAATAAACAAGACGCAACCATATACCTTGGTCATACAAATGGCCATGTAACTGTGTGGACCCCCAATATCGATAAACCTGTATGTGATATATATTGTCACGCCACTCCTATTTCTACCTTAACAGTTCATAAAAATTACCTCATCACTTCTTCTGTTGATTGTACATACAAACTGTGGGACATGAGGAAATTAGAATTCATTGAATCTAAGCGATCGCATAATGTTATTAATGAAATGGAAGTGAGTGACACAGGGGTCGTTGCAATAGCCATGAATAGTCACTTTAGAACTTACAAAGATTTTTTCACCAACCCACAACTCTACCTAACACATAACACATATGGAGATAAAATAAACTCCTTATCATTTCAACCCTTTGAAGATATATGTTGTGTCGGGGCAAGATACTCCATTAAGTCTCTTCTAGTTCCTGGTGCTGGATTAGCCAATATCGACACGTATGTGAACAACCCATATGAAACGAAGAAACAGGTGCGAGAAAATGAAATCAGATCCCTACTCGATAAGCTGCCTCCAGACACTATCACATTTGTGAAGAACCAACTGGGAAGGATCAACCCCTTTGCTTCAAACGCGAGACAGGGAAAGGCAGCAAACAGCCAGTCGTTTAGTGCAAATGAGGCGGTAGCGTCAGTAGCGGCAGCGGCAGCGGCAGCAAGAAGAAAAGGAAGAAATGGTAAAGGCGCGCTCCATTCATCAACGACCCTTAAACACCAGACGGGAGACTCGTCGGAGGACGAAACGTCAGACGGGGCCACCGGGGGGGGACGTACACGTGCACGTAGCGGACCACTCAAGCAGAGGACGACAACAACAAACCCTGCAGGGCAGAAGAAGAAGAAGAAGAAGAAAAAAAAAAAAAACAGGAAAAAAAAAAAATAATAAATCCTTTTCTACATTCGAACGTGCCCCAGTATTTGCGTAAAAGCGCCAAAGATAGAGCGGCCGAGCGCGTGATAGGGAGGGTGTTAAAATAAAAAAGGGAAGAGAAGGGAAGTTATAGGAGCATGACGGGGGAGGGTCAACAAAGCCCCCCTTCTTGTTACATTGACTGACCAGACGGGGGAAGGAGAGGAGACGCCGCTTCTTCTACCATTTGGTCGCATGCCATTTTTTCAGCGGCTACATTAGACCCCCCTCTCCGAAAATCATTTGAAACCGAAACGGGCGCGTGTGATGCAGCCCCCGTGTCGTTCGCTTCCATTTACCTCATTTGCCTCACCTCATTTGCTTCAATTTGCTTTGCTGTGTTTGTTTGTTTTATTTATTTATTTAATTTTTTTTTTTTTCAATTTGTGGTAAAACTCCTTTTTTAAAACGTTTCCCATTTTTTTAACAAAGTCAGCAGCCGCGTCGCTCTTCGCGAACGAGCAAGTTTTTTCCGCGCCAAAAAAAAAAAAAAAAAAAAAAAAAAAAAAAAAAAATACATCCACGCTGGTACATAAAAAAAAGTATACCAAAATTGCCCCTCGCCCGTTTATGTTGCTAATAAAGCGCAGTGCCAACTGGTCAGCGGAGAGGACAATTTGATCGCGTCGCCCCAAACGGAGGAGCCACATACCGATCATGAATAAAATCCTTGTTCCTTTTTTATTCCCATATTTTTTGCCGCTGCGTTTTTTCCACCACGATGGGGGGAGAAAGAACATCATCGGTTTATTATTGTACGATATAGAAGAAAGGACTTTTCATCTTTGCCTACCCCCACGCGGAACGTGTTGGCGAAAGGGTGAATGTACGGCCGAGGGAAGGCAAACCAGCTTCTCCTCCTTAGGCGTTCCTCCGCCCCCTCAACTTGCAAACGACCTCGATCGACCTAAACATAGGGCACCCGCATAGGGACATGCAAAAAGCATATGTGATATATACTGGCGTAGCGCGGGGTGAAATATACTACCTGCCGACCCCCTCCCCCTTCTCGCACATCCATTTGGGGGCGGCAACAAACAAACCCTAGCCTGACGTCCATTACCCATTCACAGAAGGCAAAATGACAACCGCACACAGACCCACATGGTACAATGCCATCGGAGGGGAAAACCAGGGTAAGACCAACGCCGCGCGGCGGCACATCATCAGCATGGCTGCATAGTCGCATGATCGCGTAGCCGCATAGTCGCGTGGCCGCCTCGCAAATTTTCTCTTTACCCCCTACAGGTGGCAACCGCAAGGTGAGCCAAACCGCCAAGGTCTGCAGCAGGGACCTGCCAGGGCACACCAAAATGAAGACCAGAGACCTGAGCGACTATGTGGAGGACAAGGAAGTGATAAAAAACAACCTCATTCAGCTCGAAGGAGGAACTACCGACAAGGATAACAGCCATAGGTTGTTAGCCATTGAAAATATAAAAAAACTCACCAACCATGATTACACCAACCCTTTTCCCGAGGACGAGGATGATGAAGTGGAGGAGGAGTGGAAGTCACGCAGGAGGAAAGAGGGAAAAAAGGCCAAACGGAAAAATTCAGCGTCGCGCCGCGCAAAGGGAGACTCGCAAGATGGAAGTCAACAGGGTAGTCAGTCAGGTGACGACATTTCAGATGACCCTTCAGAAGACCAGTCAAATGAGTCTTCAGAGGACAGGTCGGATGATTCCTCTGATGACGAATCGGAGGACGAGGAGGAAAAGGAACTCCTGAGGGAACTCGAAAACCTAAAGCGAGAAAAAATGGAGAAGGAGAGACAGGAGAAGCAGGAGCAGGAACTTCTACAAAGCAGAAAGAATAATGTGCTCACCAACAACCCGCTCATAAACCTGGAGGACAATAGTGACAATGAGGAGGGCGAAGGGATGAGCAGGAAGAGAAAGTGGACCGAGGAGGCCATCTTCCGAAATACCTGCGAGAAGAAGGAGAAAAAAATAACCTTCATCAACGACACCGTGCGCACGGCCTTCCATAAAAAGTTTCTCTTTAAGTACATTCACTAAAAAGAGGTCTGCCCGTGTGCGCGCTGTTTACGTGTGTTGCTCAACGGGGCCACAACTCCACTTTGAGTTCGAGATTTACACACACGGGAGAGTCGTCGCGCTAAATGCTTGATCCACTCTCCCCAAACATGTCGCCCTATTTTTTGTGCATGCCGTTTGTGGACATGTTGATTTGTCAAATTATATTTTTTGTTAAGCAGTCAGCTAGCCAAACTGATAAGTTTTTTTAAAAAAAAAAAAAAAAATGTGCAAAAGAATATTGCCTGGTCAGGCGATTTTTACAATTTAGGGTAAATGATTTGAGAAAATGATCCGTAAAATTATTGCCGGTCAGGCGATTTCAAAAGGTTGAGGTAAACGATTTGATAGCGGGCGGCAGCAGCAGTGGTGACGTTCCGACCGTGTTATAAAAAGTAACTGCTACACAGCGACACTTCGCCTCTTCACCGCTACCGTGACGATACCGTCACGACATCGTAATGCTACCGCTACACCCTACTTCTTCCCCGAGGAAGACACGTTGAACTTGAAGAAGATGATGTCGCCGTCCTCGACGACGTAGTCCTTGCCCTTCTGCAAATACTTGCCGTTGGCCTTGACCTCGCTCTCCGACTTGAACTCCACCAAATCGGTGTACTTATAAACTTCCGCGCAAATGAAGCCCTTTTCAAAATCGGTGTGAATGACCCCCGCGGCCTGCGGAGCCTTCGTCCCCTTCCGTATGGTCCAACACTTAACTTCATCAGGGCCACAAGTAAAAAAATGAATCAAATTAATTTCGTAGTACCCAGTCTTCACTATCTTATTCAGCATACTTTGCTTAATATTGTTTTCTTTAAAATAATTTTGTTTCTCTTCTTCGCTCATGGACAGCAACTTCAATTCCATGTCAGCACAGTAGGGAATGATCGTCCCCTTGTTCTTCTCCTGTACCCAATTGTAAATTTTGGCCAAGTGTTTATTCTTTTGTCGAATAAAATCTGTTTCACTCATATTCACCAAATAAACCACTGGTTTGGCAGTCAGGAAATTAAACTCATTAATTACTTCCACTTCTGAACTCTTCCAATTGCCATCCTTAATCCATTTATGTTCCTTTAGAAAACTCAACACTGTTGTTAATACGTCATGTTCGTTTTGTTTTATTTTGTCCTTCTTGTTTCGATTTAACACTTTAGTCACTTCTTCCAAATTTTTCTCACAGTGATTTATATCCTTGTAAATCAATTCCGAGTTTATAATGTCCATATCTCTCACGGGATTTATGTTCCCTTCTGTGTGTATAATGTCTTCGTTTTCAAATGCACGTACTACGTGATATATGCCATCCACTGCTGCTATATTTGAAAGGAAGTTGTTTCCAAGGCCTTCTCCCAGGTGTGCATTTTTCACAAGCCCTGCAATGTCGAAGATGGACAGGTATGCATGCACGTTGCTCTTCGGCTTGAAGTGACTCACTAGCCAATCGAAGCGCTCATCCTCCACCGTCACTTTGGCTTCGTGCGGGTCGATGGTACAGAAGGGGTAGTTCTCGGCGGGGATGTTCAACTTGGTCAGCACGTTGAATGTGGTCGATTTTCCTGCGCGCGGAAGGGAAAGCGGTAAAATGGAGTGTGCCACATGTAACATATTTAAGGAGAAGCGCAACAGTGGGAGGTAGAACCACAAACGTGTGAATCGCTACAGCAGGCGGAACGAAGCGACGCGTTTACGCACACTTTTTTCTACTGATCAAAGTCCCTTACCAACATTGGGCAACCCGACTAATCCCATTTTGAGCGTATTCTTGGGCCTACACAAAAGAGGGACAAATCACGTATGCACTTGTTAGGGGGGCGACAGGGTAGTGGTGGTGGTGGTCACTCGATGGACTCATCAAAAGGGCCACGCTGCCACGCGGAGACAACGTGAGGGGTTCACCAAACGCACTTGCGTGCCACGTATGTACGCATGGTTCACTTCCGCATCAGCAAAAATTCCCAACTTAGAATTACCTTCCGAGCAGGACCTTCTGCTCCTCCTCCTTCTTCTTTGGTGCCATGTTCAATTCAAAAAAAAAAAAAAAACGTTACAAAATTTAGCCAAAATAGGTAAAACGGCACTTCTACCACCACCTGTGGACCGTTACTCGATTCGGAATTGTCGACTCAGCTCGTCTTGGGTGACCCCTCTTCGCGCTTGGTATAGAAAAGTGCGTCCCTTCAAACAAGGAGACAGGAATGCGTATGTAGCCACAGCAGTGGTTGCTTCACCCTGCAGCATAAGCGCCTAAGGATAGATCACTTTGTTGGGGAAAAAACACAAGGCGCAGTTGAGAAAAACCACTACTAGCGTTGCTACAAGTACGAACGTTTACCCAAGCACAAGAGTATATACATATATATATATAATGGCGCTACGCTGCGTATTCGCAAATGTTCAGAGCGATTCTTCATACATAGAAAAAAATTTGGAAGGCCATCGATTAAAATTTGAATCAGGATCCCTGGGGGAACGAGGCGAACCAAAAAAAAAAGAAACAGAAAAAAAAAAGAAAAGAAACTTCTCGCTTGAACGTAATATATAGTATTAAACCCTAACTGCGTAATATGTTTTTTTTTTTTGCATGTACAAAAGATGGGGTCATAAATAAATTGGCACTCATTCTTGTTTTTTCTCCTTTGCTGCAGGAACGCCCATGTTGTTTTAAGAGGCTTCCCTTTTTTTTTTCTATGCTTCTTCGCCACGCCGAACGAAGCGGCACCTATCTTTCAATCGACCAACTCTTGAAGGGGGGGCAGTGGCATAAAAAAAAAAAATATATACATACGAACAAAACAACGCGTTGCTGATTGAACATGTTTGCAAATTGGGTTTACTCCATTTTTGTGGAAACGCGTTGTAACCGCTAACCCCATAGAGGAGAAAAAGGAAAAAAAAAAAAAGGGAAAAAGAAGCCAAGTTGTGTACAAAGGGGATGATATAAATACATCCTCAGTCTTCCTATCGCGTATCCTCTACTACGATGGGAGGTTTTTATTTCCGACGGGAAGGGTAAAAAAGGACCCTTCCTTTTTTTTTTTTTTTTTTTTTTTTTTTTTTTTTTCTCTGTTCCCATTTTGGCTACCTGTGGTGTGAAGGGGCCAGGTGTATAAGCCAACCCAGAGGAATAGAAGCAGACCGTTATGATATGTATAGACCGTTTGTAGAGTTGAACAGACGGGGGAAGTATTTACATTCCTGTTTGGGAGAGCAAAAGCAAGGACAACGTGAATGAATCATTTTGTCCAATCTCGCCCAAGTGTACCACTTCGTGTTTACCACGCAAATGTGCAATTTGTTTTTTTGCTGACCTGTTCAGGCAAATCATTGGGTGAAAAAAAAATGATGCCGTCTATCCGAGCATGTGTGTATATGTAATCGCGCACGTATCTCATTACATTCCCTCACACACAAATGGGTAAACAAATGGGTAAACAAATCGTTAAAGACACACCCAAATGAATACCCAACAAAACAGGAGCTATAATGTTTCACCTACTCATTTATACACAAGAACACCCCAGCCATGTTAACAGCCTTCTGACCCTGTTCGAAAATGTGTATGATCGACATGGAAATAAAATATCGAAGCATACAGAACAAAACCCTGAGGGAGAGAAAAAGGATGACACGAACGATAACAAGGACATTTTGAACAAAGTGAGTGACGAAAGGGTACCCATCAAGCAGAAACTGCCTCAAGACGGGGGAGGGGGCCCGAAGGTGCAGCATTATACGTCCTCCTTTTTGCAGCTATACATAAATGACCAAAAGAATTTCGATTTGTACTTAATAGAAGACGACGAGGAGGATGACGAAGGGGGAGGCGGAGAAACACCCGTAGCAGCATCGGGGAAGACGGTTGAAACCCCGTCCGATGTCCCTACCCAGAAGAAGGAAAACTGCGCAGCGGAAAATGAAGACATAGGAAGGAATCAAACGAGTACAAAAAAGGGGGGAGACAAAAGGGAAAGAGGAAGTTCAGTGAAAAGGCCAAAGGAAGCAATGAACCAGAAGGATACTCTACCTCATGACGATGATAAAGGAAGGAGAGTGAACTTACCCCTGCATCGGTCACACATGCTATTCATTCTGTCCCTACCAACACACGTCCCTTTCGACCACCTCTACCACTTGATCAATGCTTACACCGACTTCATCGAGCACATAAAGGTCTTTCACCTGCACGGTAATATGTCCTTCTTGCATGAGGAGGAAGAATGTCCCACGGGGGGGGGAGAAGATAAAGTGGTTAGCCATGAGGAGGAGTCTAGACCGAGTTCCTGCCCCAATCGCATGAACGAAGCTAAACGTCGTGTGGGCACCGCCGAAGACCCCCCCATTGGTGAAAGCTCACAAGGAAGGGAAGCAGACGAATGCAGCGGATGTAATGAACAAAATCAACGTGGAGAGTGTGCAAGTACATTTGAAGTGGAACGAGAAGCCATGTACCAAAGCATGCTCAGCGTGGTAAAGAGGAGATTAAAAAAAAAAAAAAAAATTAAAAGTTACTCTGTTCTTATCTGTTTCAAAACACAAATTTACGCTGACATGTTCTACAGTGAGTACCAGTGTACAAGTTTGAATCACTTGGTGGAGGGTCGTCAGGGAGAGTGGCGTGACTTGGTCGACACAGCGGGAGGGGAGAAGGACTATCCTGATTGGTATATCTACTGCGCGTTCGTCAGTCTAGTGTACTACATTGTGGATGGGGAAGTGGATGGCCAAGTGGATGAGCCGCTTCTGCGAAGCGAGGGGGAAAACGCTACGCAGCAGGAGAGGAACGGCTCGAGCGAGACACACACACACGGAAGAACGCATGACGTCCCTCCCAGCAACAATAACCCATTCGATATAAATCACTTTAAGACTTTTCACAAGAGCATCATCACAGATGGAAACACATGCACATCCTTTTGTCCGCTCTGCATGGACTTGTTATGTGAGGAGGTGTGCTTTACTCTGACCAGGAACAAAAATTGGCACGCCCGAAAAAGGGGAAAGGCGAGCAAGCTGTGCGAATATGTGAATTTGTCCTGTAACGTCTGCTCGTTAATTTTTCTTTACGACTCCGTGTCGAGGTTGGCGGGCGGTCAAGGGGTCATAGACACGCCGATGGAGACACCCCATGATGTGGCGCACTCGGTAGAAGATGGCATTGACCCCCCAACTGAACAGAACGGAACGAGCGACGAACTAGTGTCTCCCGCGAGAGACGCCCCAAGCAGGCTAGGACATATACTAGGGACCCTCAAGTGCAGGGACTGTAACAATGTGGACGATATATGGCTTTGCCTTACGTGCGCAAATATTGGATGTGGGAGGTACCAGAAGAGCCACGCGAAATTTCATAGCACCTTGTATAATCACCACTACTGCCTCAACCTCAGGACAAAGCAAGTGTGGAATTACATGCGAGAGGCTTTTATTGAGGAGAGGGTGGAGGATGATCAGAGTGAGTTGGCGCTTGCCTGGCGTGGAGGCAGTGGTCCGACGGGCGGTGGGTTCGGCTGTAACACTTTCCATGCGTGTGTTGATGAGCCCCCCGCAGGGAGGGGTGACTTTCTGTACGACGACGCGTGCGATGCGTACGATATGCATGGCGTGCATGACGCGTACGACGCGTACGACAGCAACATATACAACAAAATATACGACATTTTCACGGACGACGCGTATATTAGTGATGGGCTGAAGAACGAACTGCTCTACAGCCTGTACTCCCTGCTGTCGCACGAGTCAAACGTTTATAACAGCAGCCTCGTGGAACTCCAGTGCAGCTACATGAATAGACTCGACATGGAGAATAAGAGCATAAAAAGTATTCGTGATACGGCTAGCCAAATTAAAAACCAAAACAGGAAAATGGAAACCTTCCTCCAAAGGGTAGAGTCCTCCATTAAGGTAAAGAATAATGAGAGGGCCCAACTGCAGCAGAAGATCAACTTCCTTAGGGACCTCAACAAAAACATGCTTTCGCAGAGGTGCGCAAAAATGCGTGCGGGTAGAGCAGCCAAACAGACCACACAAGGCGGCGCCATGCATGACAACGATGGTGACGGTGACGACGGCGACGACGACGACGATAACGACTCCAGGAAGATAAAGCGGCTGGACGAGACCATCCGCGCGCTCCAGCAGCAGGTGGATGACCTCATGCGCGCGTTATAGCGGGGATCGAGTCGTCCTCGTGGAGAAAGCCTCACCATGCAGTGACAGTACACCCTGTTATGGGGCAAAGTGGTTGAGTCGTCTTGTACAAAAGTGGCCAGCAAAAATGACGCACAAAAATGGCGCACAAAAATGACGTAAAAACTAAAACAAAAAAAAAAAAAAAAAAAAAAAAAAAAAGTCCTAAACCCGCACGCGCGGGAGAAGATTAAAAAAACGACAGAAATAGGTCACAAAAGACATGAAGGAAGACACGAGTCACAAAAAAGGATAAATTCTGGGCCGACGCGCCGCCTCCACACTTCTACACCCTAGAACATGTCATATAGCAGACGGTAGAGCTTCTTCAGCGTGACAGATTCCTTTACGAAATTGTTGAAGAAGTGATTCTTCATAGTTTCATCCAAGGTGAACTTGTTAGTACCGTTCGTCGCTGCATTTTTTTGAGTAACGCCAGCAGTCCCCTGTTTCATGCCACCTGAACCCATCTTGGAGGATGACACAGATGTATATGGACAAGCAGAATTACCATCTGCTGCCTCATCAGCATCGCAATATTGAAGGAACTCCGACTGAGTACCCACCTTGGAGGAAGTGGCACCACCCCACATGTTGCTTCCCACAACATCGTTGTTAGTTGGGTCGACAGTGGGTTCCTCGTCCTTCTTCTTCATCCCCTTGTACTCTGTGTGCACACGCACGTTGTTTATCTTGTCCTCCGCTGCGTTAATATTTTTTTCAATTGTCTGAAGTAGCTCTCCTTGTCCTTGTATATTATTATACACTATATTACCAGTGTTCTTTAATTCAACAGAAAAATTTAATAAGTTGGACACAATATTTTGTGCTAGGTCCACTCGTTGGTTTCCTTCTGTTTCTCCTGTTCCTGTTCCTGCTCCTTCTCCTTTACTGAGAGTAACAGCAATGTTCTTCAATTCATCTGACTTACCTAGTAGAACGTTTATTATTTTTTTGTTTAGCTCCACTTGCATCATTTCCTTTTGTAACACGTCCTCCTCTAGCATGAGTATTTGTAGAATCACCTGCACGTAGTCCTTCTGCTTCTTGGTCAGCTCATTGGAGTTCAGCATGTCGTACAGAATCATCTTTATTTGCTCCATTTTAGCTGAGTTTTTCTTGTCGCCGTCCTGGTCATCAGTGGGCGGGGCGTCATCTCCCGGCTGTTCTCCATCGCTTCCGCCCGCGTCGCCGCCTCCACCGTTTGGCTCTCCCCCATTTTGCGGGTTGTCTCCCCCGGAGGTGCCGTCGCCGTCCTCATCCTCCGGCTCGTCTTCCTGCGGCTCTTCGTCGTGGTCCTCACCCGTGGCGCCTCCGCTGCCGCTACTGCTGCCGCTACTACCGCTACTGCTGCCCGCCTTGTTCGCGTGGGCCGTGGCGGCGGTACACTTTGGCGCGGTCTCCTGCAAACTCAAAAAGGATTGCGACGGTGTCGCCATGTCTTCACCAGTCACGCTGTTCACGCCGCTCACACCGCTCACACCGCTAACACCGCTCACACTTTTGAGCCCCTTGAACTTTTCGTAGCTGGCATACGATTCACTCAAGAAAGACAAAAAGCTATTGAAGTTTTCCTTCTGCCTGTCCAAGTGTTCTTTAATACTTTTTAATATATGAATCATCAATATTTTTTGTTTTTTCTGCTCATACAAGGAGGATTTGTTTTCTTCGTTCGTTCCCTTTTCACATGTACTTTTGCTCTTCCCCTGTGAACTGTTGTTGTGGCTCTCGATCTCCTTGAGCGCGTTTACCACATTGGGGTTGTTGTTGTTCCCTTGTGCCGCGTTCCCCTGCTTCATTTCATTGTACTGCTGTTCTTCTAACTCCGCCGCTTCCTTATCCACTGCGTCCATATCGGCTGCCTCCTTCACAGCTGCTTCCTCCGCGGCCGCCTCTTCCATCGCTGCCTCTTCATTCACCAGGTCTTCTCCCGAGTCCATCTCATCCACGTCCTCCTCTAACGTGTTACTCGCCACAACATTGCCTTTCTGGTTGCTGTTGTTCCCCTTTTTCGCACTTGCCATGGGGCAGACTGCGTTATTTCCCTGGGCAACTTTCACTCCCCCCCCTTGCCCATGCTGTTCTGCCTGCACATTCGCACCGCTCTTCTTTAGGCGGTACGCACTGTTGGCGGGTGCCAACAGGACACCTACGTTCATAAAGAAAAATAAACAAAGGAACATGTCCCGCTTCATTTTTGTTATACAAATATTAGAGAGACGGAATTTTTTTTTTTTTCGTTTGATAAAAAAACTGGGCAGCTCAGTTTTGGATCCCCCGTGTGCAGCAACGGGTAGTTCGCTACGCGCGCATTTGGCATATGTGTGGTGTTGCCTTGGCGGCAGTGTCCTTTTTTTTTGTGTATGTGTCTGCCTTGGTGTCTGTGCGTGGGTTAATTACAAACTCATGCACACACATTTATATACGTTTATTTTATATGCATTTTTTTTTTTCTTTTCTTTGTTTTTTTTTTTTTTTACGTATATATATGAAAGTGCATACTTGGGCACGCCGCCTCATGCGTTGTCTAACGTGCTGTCCAGCGTGCTGCGCGTGTCTGCGTTCCGTTCGCACGTGGCGCGCCCCCGTGCTGTCCCGCGGCGACTTCGCCATTGAAGAACGAAATCGCGGGAAGAGTAGGAAGTGTGGAACAGAGTTAGACGAAGCAGAACTTGCGCAACAGACCGAAGGGCGATGCGTGCGCAGACAATACAACACTTTAACCTGCCATGTGGTATGCGTCATTTTCTGCCGTCTGGTATTTTTGCCCGTTTTTTTTTTTTTTTGCGAAAAAAAGTAGGCACTTGCCTGCACTGTGCAGAAATGCACAAACAACACTCTTGCTTGTATTTGCGAGAAAAAAAAAGTTGACCCAGCTAGGGCGGGAAGACGCATTAAAACAAAGGAAAATATATTGGTTCAAAAAGAAACACAGTGATAAACGTTTTTATGTATCACGGGGAAGCGCGGCGCGTCGACTACACTCCCCGGATGCAGGTGTGTCTGGCCCGCCGCGCGCCCTGCCATTGGCTAGGTGGTGTGTGCAATTTGGGGAGACGCAAAAAAAAAAAAAAAAAAAAAAAAAAAATTGGCAACACAAATTGGGGCGCCGCGCAGCTGTGTGATGTGTCGTCGCTGCACGCGGAAGGGTTTGCCACCCCACCGATCAGTTGTCGCCGTCTTGCCGCTTCTCACACTGGTGCTGCTCATCCCGCCGCTGCTCGCCTTCCCCCTCAGTCGCGTAGACGGGGAACTTGAGGATGGCGGCGATCCCCGTGAGGGCGTTGAGCTGCTCGCCCGTGGTGTGGTTGTCCGGGAAGATAAAGACACGGCCGCCGGTGCCCTTCACGTCGCGAACCATGGCCACGTACTCCTTCCTAGTGACCACGTCACAGTTGCGAAAGGTCCGGTCAGTAATGAGCAAAGATTCAATGGCATGCAACGAAGCAGCATATCTCACATCCGCATCTCCATAGCAAATCTTCTCTTCACTCTTATCAAATAGTTTGTAAAATTTATTTAACACATCCATGTGAGAAACGACTTTCATATTTAACACTTGCTTTTTTATTTGTTCATTATTTAAAATTTCGTTCACAGAATTTCTGTTAATGCTAGAGGTCTTGACGATAAGAAATTTTGTCTTCATGCTGAGCACGTCTTTATCGTTTTTCTGTTCAGATTTTTCATATACAAATTGAAGAAAGTCATTTTTAAAAAAACCAGGTCCACCCAAAACGATACATTGCATTTTTTCCACATCCACATTTTTGAGCAGCTGGAGTAGGAGCTGCTTAAAAAATGCACACAAAGATTTTGTATATAAAGAGTTGTTATTCTTTTCCCTTTTCTTTTTAATCACTTTACTTAGGGTGAATATATGCTTACACAAATTCTCTGTGAGGAGATACATTTGAGCTTCTCCACAGCTCAGCAACAGAATAGCTACTTTCGAATTCATCTTAACATTTGTACATTCTTCTAGCTTTTCCCTATACACACTGTCCCAATTTTTTTTTTTTATTTTTATCTTTTCATTCAGTCCTATTTCAAACGTGTGGTACTGTCCCATTTTCACATACTCGTTGCTTTTAACATTTTTGCCTGACAACCTCAGACTGTTGTTGGCTGCATCGAAATCTACTTTCGTTATCTTAAGGGTCAACTTCATTTTTCTTATTTCCGTGGCGTAGGTGTTGTTTCCAATGTCCTTGTGTACCTTCCTCGACGTGACCGTCTCCACTTCGTCGTTGATGCTGATCAGGTTGTACAGGTGCCATAGGTCGTCCTCCTCCTCCGCCACC